GATCCCATCTCATACCATCAACAAATATTAATTCAAAATGAATCATGGACATAACTTGAACATAAATGCTAAAACTATAAAGCTTTTAGAAGAAAATATAGGAGAACATCTTTGTGACATAGAGGCAGGTAAAATTTCTTAGGACAGAGAAGACAATAACCAAGAAAGAAAAAAATCAACAAATTAGATTTTATCATAATGGAAAACTCATGCTCATTAAAAGCTACTAAGAAGAAAATGAATAGGCAAGCTATGCACTGGGAAAAAATTTTTTGCAAAATGTGTATTTGTCAAAGGATTTGTATCTGGAATATATAAGAACTACTACAATTTATGAAAACACAAACAGCCCAATTTCAATAATGGGTAAAAGATTTGGAAAGACTTGTTTCAAAGGAAGACAAATAAATGAACAAGAAACCCATGAAAAAGTGCTTGACGTTGATATTCCACACACAAAAAAAACACAAATTAAAACCACAATGAGATGCAGCCACACATTCACTAGAATGGTTCAAATTTTCAGTTCTCACACTACCAGCCATTGGTGAGATGTAGAACAGCCAGAGCTGTCACACACTGTTGGTGGGAATATAAAATGGCACAGCTGCTTGGAAAAAAGTTTGATAGTTTCTTACAAAGTTAAGCATATACCTACCCTTTAGTTCAGCAGTGCCACTCTTGGATATTTTTTTGTTGTTGTCCAAGAGAAATGAAAACCTATGTCCTTGAAAGGCTTGTTTAAGAATATTCATAATAACTTTATCCATAATAGTCAAAACCAGAAAACAACCCAAATGTCCATGAGTAGAAGAAAAGAGCAACAGCAACGATAGAATACTACTACGCAACAAAAAGGAACTAACTTCTGACACACACATTGCATGAATGAGTCTCATAGATACACTGGGGGAAAGGAGTCAGACATAAAAGAGTATGTATAGTGTATGTTTCCATTTATACGACATTCTAGAACGTCTAAGGAGTAATCTAAGATGACAAAACTCAAAACAGTGGTTGTAACTGTGGGGAGGAACTCACTGGGATTTTCTGGGGTGGATGAAAATGTTCTGTCTCATGGTATTGATATGAGATACATGGGGAATCCATTTGCCAATATGGTGCACTAAAATTTGTGCATTTCCATGTGTGTAAATTAAACTCCAGAAAAAAGCAACTGCAAAAGTCTTAATAATAATAATTGAGTGGATCAGGGTGGGGAGCAGGTAGAAGCGTAGCTAAACCTAAAATAGCATAATGTTGATAATGGTTGAAGTCATATGATGACAGATAAGGGGTAGGGGCAGGAAGCACTTTACCCCAGAATAAGGAAAGTACTGGTGCGAGTAGGGACAAAGTGACACCAGAATAGGGTAGAGACATTAGAGGGAAATTTATGAGGTGATGAGTCACCTGGCTCTTGTGGGAAAGACTATGTAACTGATTCTGAAAGGAAGGAAAGGTACTTCATGGAGAAATTGGGAATTGGTGCCAGGAGATGGAAATGAAGTGGAGATGGAGAAGGAGATGGAAATGAGATGAAGGATGGAGATGGAGATAGGGAGAGAGGGAGGGTAGGAGGAAGGGGCATCTTTTTCAACGTGTCTCTGGAAAGATACCATTCCTTGAAGGAACACACAGACTTTCAGGGAGCCGGGGTGGGGGGGGCTTGGGCAGAGCAAAGACTGGGTTTGATTGGTGAAGGAGCACATCTAAAGGGAGGGACCCATGGGACTGTCTCTTAATCTTGTTAGCGCTGGTCTACTTATCTACCACGTATTTGTAATTACTTGGAAACACTGCCTGCATACGTATATCGTTTCAACGTCTGACTGTTTACCTTGTACCCCCCAGGTTGCTAAACAGCTCTCCACTAAAGCACCCACCCACACTGCAACAAACACTTTTTAAGCAACTCGTGTGTGCCATCCTCTGCTAGACACCAAGTTGTAGGTGACTAAGACAATGTTCCTCTCCACAGAGGAGCTCGAGGCATGTGCATTTCCTCACTTAGTGGCATGTCTGAGAAATGAGGTGAAGAGATGTCTCAAATGAAAGAGGAGAGAACTGACAGGGAAATGCTGGCTTTTTCTCACGCACTCATATGCGTTCATCCCCCAACATAGAGTTTGGTGGTGTGTGTGGAGTCTGCAACAATGAGCGTCCAAGATAATAAGGGCCAATTACTTTTCCCTCCAGTAGATTCTTGAGTATCTGAAATGCCCCACTTAATGGGAATGGCAGTTGAAAGTAAAGTAAGTGAATTATTGCCCTGGAGATGAACAGATACGTGTCTGTATTCACAGGACCAGAAGCTCTTAATTCCCTCCCAGGTTCCTTGAGGGCCTGGCTGGGCTTCCTCAACTTCCTGTGCCCTCAAACAAGTAGCTCAGTGCTTTGCTGAGGCTAGGGACTCAGCGAACACTTGTTAAATGATTCAATAAATAGGGAAGCTATGGCAGAAGGGGTCATCACTGCAACTGTCAAGTCACCACTCCTGTTCCTGCCCACCCAACTGTTGTCAACAATACCCTTTGTTCTTAGTGTGAGGGTGGTAGGATGGCACTAGCTAACAAGGGGTCACAAGAGGCAGTTGGAAGGAGCCAGGCGGGACTGCCGACCAGCCCCCTCCTCTTCCCACCTCACCGAGACTGGCTGCCCTCTGGCTGACATTCTTGAAGTCTTCAAGGTGCCCGAGCAGCTTCACCAAAGCAGAAGAAACAAACAGTGTGTTGGGGAGGGTCGACACTTTTCATACAATAGCATATTGGCCATTTACTGGACTCTTACTATATGCTGGGAACCATGCTGCCTGCTTTTTCTGCATCGCCTTGTCTAATCTTCTGGACCAGGTGCCGAGGAAGGGACGATTAGTAGCCCATTTTGCAGTGAGGAAACTGAGGATCAGAGAGGTTCAGTGACTAGCCCAAAGTTACTCAGCAGGTGAGTAGCCAGGATCTGAAGGGGATTTTTGGAGCCTGCCTATTCCAGTTTACCTGCTCCCCTTTGGGACAGTTTTGATTTTCATTTCAAACTGAGGGAACAGTGAGTGGAGAGGACCCTTGAAATGGGACAGTGAACAGAACTGCGGTGGTGGCTGCCTTGGGGAGGGGCTCGGCCTGGAACTGCTGGGTGGAGCAGCTGAGGACATGGGCCTGAAGCTGGGCACCCAGGAGCCAGCGCCAGCAGAGCAGAAAAGCCCTGTGACAGAGCGGCCACAAAGTCACCACCACCATCATCCAACAGAGCACACAATGCCTGGTACAATCAGCCTTCTTCATGTGGTACATCTCTTTTAATCCTCATAGCTCTAAGAGGGCGGTACTCTTACTATCATCCCTGTTTTACAGATAAGGAAACTGAGGCTCAGAGCTGCCGGACCCCAAATCCTGGCTTTTTATGTGCCGTACTTACCCTACGTTCTCAAGGATGCAGCTCTGCCTTTTTCTCTTTTCCTGCGTTATCTTCCCTCCCAGTGTCCCACCACCCCTGTACTGGCACAGGTTCACCTCAGCAGTCATTCCCCCGCCCTTCCCCGGCCCCTCCCTCCCTTGAATGTGATGAAACACCATCAATATTAATAGGTTCCCGATTTAGCCAATAAAATTACAAAATGCCCAGTTAAATTTGCATTTCAGATAAATAATGAATGCTTTTTTTCATATAAGAATGCTCCAAATATTGCACGAGACATACTTATATTAAAATTTTATTTGTCATTTATGAGAGATTTCCATTTAACTGGCATCCTTGTATTCTATCTTGCAACCCTGATATGATAAGAGGCCCCTCTGTGCTTGGGCCTGGCATTATCTACCCCTTCCCAAGCTTGTCCTCCCCGATAGGAGCTGGACTATTCTTGGAATTGCAAGGACCAAAAGCAAAGGAGAGAGAGGGCATACACTGCTTCAAAGCGAGGAGGCTGGGCCCTAGAGAGCAGGGTCAGCTGGTGGCAGAAGAGGGGAGGGCCGGCCACAAAATGCAAGTGGCAGAAATAAGATGATTTCTTATTCTCGAGAAAGGGTGGTTTTTGAAAAAAAATTCCCGAGATGTGGAGGGTGTTGCTGTTTCCCCAGCGGAGTCCCCACACGCCCCACCCAGCTGTCAGTGCTAGTCGTTGCCCTCCTCTCAACAGGACATTCAGTTGGTGACCGCCACCCTCTGATAAGGTCAGTGAGGCCCAGTGCCTGGACTGATAAAGTAGAGGCCAGAGCATTTCTGAATACACTGCTGCTGTTACCAAGGCACAGCTACCACCTGTCACCTGCTCACAGAGCTTCTAGGAAGGAAAGTTCTCCAAAGGTCATACTCAACCTAGACTGTGCCACTCACCTCCTTTTTTATGCCACACAGCCAGCGCCCAGGCTCTGCCCAGTAACAAGGTGGGAAAATAGCTCAGGAGATAGTCTGCCTTTACCCGGACATGTTTGCCCTACATATTTTTACCATGTTTATATGTGCCTGTCTTGTCTCCCCTTTCTGAGATGAAGACTGCCCCAGTCGGCATGCTGTACCTTATCTTCCCGGCACCTGCCCTGGGCACCTGTCACACCTGAAGCAGGGAGGGATGGGCAGACCCCGAGGTCTGATATGGAATGTCAGGAGGACGGTCTGGGTCTGAGGACCCACCCATGCACTCTGGCACCTGAGAGTGGCTTGCACTTCATTGTCTGGCTATTTTTACTCCTGCCTCTGCCCAGGTTTGGGCGTGTGGTCCCTGCCCTGCCCTTCCCCTCAATGGCTGCCAAGGGTGAAGGCTGGATGCGACACACACAGCTTCCCATCTCACTGGGGATTCTCACTGGGCAGCCCTCTCCTGCCTGTTGGCAGCTGGTTCACCCCCTCCCAAGGCATAGTGCCCTCTCCTTTGCCTGTCATTCACGTTTGCCTTTCAACTCCAGCTCAAAGACTCAACACACTCTAAAGCAAAGTTAAAACCAGCTCATGCCTCCAGGGAAATGGAAGGAAGGACAGAGGGGATGGATCCCCTCCTTACTTACTGTCCTGATGTCCCGGGGGAGGATGGGAGACCTGGGAATCACAGGCAGTTTGCAATGAGTTGCTGTTCAAGTTCTTCACCCCAGCCAGAAAAGCCTCCCTGGCCCCATCCAGGAGCCAGAGGCCGGTGTGCAGCGGATCCCAGCCACTGAGCAGGCTCCAGCGGGGATGAGCTCACCAGGATATGGGGTAATGGGTTAACCCTTTGCAGGCTGCTGGCACAGGCACTCGGAATGTGGCTTTGTCTCAGCTCTGCTCAGCCACTATTAGATGAATCTTGTGAAAAATTAATGAAGCCTCTCTGCAGTCTGTCTTCAAGTTTGGGTGGAATGTGCATTAGGTTGGCGCATGGGCAGGGCTGCTTCTCCTGACCCAGGCTCAGAACTCAAGAGACGCAGAGTTTCTGGGTTGGCGGAATGTGTGATGGTGATGGGTTTACCAAAGGGTGGATTACTCAGAGGCTATGCTAGCTCTGTCCAGTGCAGGCCTTGAGACGACAAGATCTGGGAGCTCTGTTTGTTCTGGATGTTGGAGAGAGCACATGTAGATTTATTTAATGTCCTCAGTTCCAAGATGGCAACCACTGGGAACTTCCCAATGCCTACAGGTGGGCACGACATGTGACAAAATGCCAGGAGCCCACAGCAGAAGGCACGATGAGCACACGGAGTCCCACCCCACCCCAGGCCCGGACATCTCTGAACTGGGGCAAAGCACCATATTCACACTTGCTTCTCCCATCTTTCCTGATGGCTTTTCATATTATGGTGATAAGAGAATAATGGAAATCACTGCACAGATAGGGAAGGGGCGTCCATCTCTATAAACAGTTATCAAATTGTGCTTGCAGAAGCTAGGTGTGAGGTATTGGGTTGCCCATTCTCAAGATGCTGAGGGGTACCCTGAAGCCAATAAAATGCTCCAACATCCTGAAAGCCAGGCCGGTCCTGCCCTTCTCCACACTCACTGGTTGTTAGCCACGGGGTGAGGGAGGTCCTGGCCACTGGTCACAGTACCCTGGGGGCTTCCTCTGTGGTCTGTAAGGGAGGCTGTCTCAGGAGTGATTGGGGACACAGAAGGCCAGGGAGGGAGTAAGCCTCTTCCATCTCCGGCATCTTGATTTCCGTACCTGTGAAACGAACAGGAACTTTCCACACTGGGAAGGCTCTGCAGAGCTTGATGTGTGACAAACGGATAGAGAAGCACACAGCTAAGACAGCTGCCGCAAGGGGGTCAGGCTGAGTGGGTTTTGCTCTGTGTTGCTCTGTGAAATATGAGCATTCTCTCTCAGGGAATTTGAGTCCCAAGGAACTTGACTAGAAGGTTTTTGGGGATGGTGCTTGCACTGCTGTGGATACCCCCGCTTTCATGTGCAGTCAGTTTGTTAAACCCAGTGGGCTGGCTTGTGAGGAAACCGTGGAGTGAATTATTTTGCAATGCAAATAACCAAATCTTTATTTTTTCCCTTAGTTCAGACTCCTGTGCTCTCCCCACCCTCCGTAGGGCGTGGCAGCATGGTGTCCAAATAGCCATCAGGAAGACAAACCCTCATGGAGTACTTCTCCATATCAGGCATTAGTCTAAGCACTTTATATGCACAATACCTCATCATTTATTCCCCCAAATCACCATAGGAGGTATGTATGTGAGGTAGGTTGCTATCCTTATATTTGGCTTTAAACAAATTACTTAACTTCTCTGAGCTTTAATTTCTTCATTTATTGAGAATTACTAGCAACTATCACATTCATTTAATAAATGAAGAGTTTTTATGAGGATCGAATAATAAAAGGCACATATATATATAATACAGTCAGCCCTCTGTGTGCTCAGTTTCCACATTTGCGAAGTTAGCCAACCATGGATCAAAACTAGTCAAAAAAGGGCCGGCCGAGTGGCGCGATGGTTAAGAACTGGCTTGGGATGTCAGAGGGCCCTGGTTCGGATCCCACATATGAGGGCCAGTGACACTGCCCTCCACAGCTAAGATGCTGAACAACAGCTCAACCTGGAGCTAGGCTGCCATGAGTCCCCGGCGACGGCGTAGGCTGCAGCCCCTGTGGCAGTGGGTTGCCATGGGCTACCGTGTGTGGCCAGCAGCCAGCGGGAGCGGCCAGCAGCCGCCGTGAGTTGCCGTCCAGAAGCCGGCGACTGATCTGCCTCGCCCAGGAAGAGCGCAATGATGGTGCCAACTTGGGCCAGTGAAGCAACGTCCTCCACAACTAGACTGAAGAACAAAAGGACAGCAACTTGTCTGTTCCCCTTCCCCCAATTCCCCAGCGCTGTTCCCATCCCCCCAATTCCCCAATAAAATCTTGTAAAAAAAAAAAAGTTACGTGTCTGCTGACACATACTACGTAGTCAGGCCTACAATGGTGCAGATGGTTGCTCTGTACTGAACATGTACAGATGTTTGTTCCTGTCATTATTCCCTAAACAATACAGCATGGTGACTATTTAGATAGGATTTCCATTGTATTAGGTATTATAAGTAATCTAGAGATGGCTTACAGTATATGAAAGGATGTGCATGGGTTATAAATACTATGCCATTTTATAGAAGGGACTTGAGCATCCTTGGATTTTGGTATCTGCAGGAGTCCTGGAACCAATCCCCCAAGGATACTGAGGGATAGCTGTAAATATAGTATATGTATGTATATAATATACATATACATATATAAATATATATGCAAATTAGGGGGGACTTGGGTCCAGGAGGAAGAGTCCTGGTACAAGTTGTGATGTCTGCAGGCTCCTCCCCAGCAGGACAGAGCAGGAGGTGTGAGAAGCCAGCTGGGCCCTTGGGCAGTGGACTCTACATATCCTGGGAGGAAGGGTTGCTGCTGCAGTTGTGACATCAAACAGGCAGAAAGCAGGCATGAGGACTACCTGGGGAGGCTTTGGCCCTCTTCTTCAGAGTTCCCCAACTTCTTATCCTGGAGCCCCTAGCTGCTCTGGCTCAAGTTTGCTCCCCTTACCTGGCTAGCCCCATTCCAAGCCCTGATGATATGACAGGGTGACCAGACACCCAGGTTAGCCCAGGGCTGACAGATTTCCTGGGATATGACACGGGACTTTCAGTGCTAAAACCAGGCCAGTTCCAAGCAGGCCAGGATGAATTGGTTACTTTCATAAAAACCTGTGGAGCCCCTGTGCCTGTGCACACAAGCTCTCTTGGCCTGGAACGCCCTTTCCGCCTGTCTTCGTTTAGCTAACCCACCCAGTTTGGCCTCTCGCTCTCTGCAACCCTCCCTGAGCCCTGGCTGCGTTCAGAGCCCCTCCTCTGGGCCGTCACATTGTTTTTCAGCTCTATTACACTTCCTGACTATGGTCTGCCCCCCCCCCCCGAAACAAATTATTTAATGAAACCTCATTTATCCACAATCCAGCTTCAACAACTATCAATGCTCATTCTTTTTTCATTTGTCTCCCTCCTACTTTTTTTTTCTTTTTAGTATTTTTAAGCAAATCCCAGACATCTCATCTTTAGTTAATTTTTGCAAGTGGAGATGTGTATCTCTAACAGATAAAGATTTGTTCCTTCCTTTCTCCCTCTTTTCAAAAACAATAACCACAACAGCATCACTATCATACATGAAATTTAAACATTCCTGAATGTTAGTGCCCATTCCACATGTCCCTCACTGTCTCAAAAACATCTTTTTTATGGTCAGTTTTCTATAAAGCAAGATCCTAGCAAGTGCCAGCGCTCGCGGTAGCCACATCTCCCAAGGCTCACTTCATCCTTAGTAGCCATGCCCTCCTCTGGTCACACCATTTAGTTATTGACTGTAATCAGATTGTCTGCCTCAGAGAAGTCCCACATTCTGGACTTGGCTGGCTGCTTGCTCACGGACCACAGAACATTTTCCTCTATTCTGCAAGGGCCTCGTCTTGTCTCAATGTCCACTGTAGCCTGGGATCCTAGCACAGTGATTTGACCCAGATGAGGTGCCCAGCCAATGTGGAATAAATGGCCAGTGAACATTCAGCGGGGTACCTTACAATTTATAGAAGACTTTGCCTGGACGCCATTTGGTCCTCATTGGAGCCCCATGACACAGGCAGGGCCACATTTTGTATTTGCTTCTCAGTTGCACTGCTGTGACAGGTCACCAAGACTGGGGACTCAGAATGCAGTGGTCATGTCCATCCTCCCCTCTCTGCCTTTCACACCAAGTCACAGGGATTCACAAATAGGGATTCTCATATGAACTACAGATCTCTGAGTCCTCTTCAGAGGAACTCTCCCTGAGTGGGAGTTTTCCCCAGTCCTGGGTATCCCCTGCCAAGGCCAGCCCAGAAGGGCAGCAGGTTCTAATTATGGGGAGGGAGCCTGGGCTTGGGGCCAGCAAGGAAAGGGAGCAGGCAGGGGCCATACCATTGGCTGTGGGGCTACACAGCTAACGAAGGAAGAGGTGTCTATGTCCTTGTCTTTCTCCATGTTTGCTCCAATGTCTTTTTGTCATTGCCTAAAAACTATCACAGCAGCTCATTATTTTAAAAGAACAAACAACCAAACCAAAACAAAATACACCTCCCCCCGCCCCCCTGTTCCCCAAACACCACCACTCTTGAAGAATATGTACAGAGTGAGTCCTTGCTCCACCCCAGTGACACTTCTGTCCCACGCTTTGCCCAAGGGCAGAGCAAGATACAGAGACGGCGGAAGTAAGGGGAGAGGCAGGCTTGGAGGAAGGGGTTCCAGCTCCTGTGGATCCCGGTGGATGTGGGAAAGAGAAGGCCCCCTTGGTCTGCAAGGCCTTAGGCTCCTTCTACACAGATGAGAAGCCTCTGTTTTCCAGGGCCCAGGAGAGTCATGCAAAGCAATTACTCAAATCAGGCTGCCCCAGGGAGGCGGCACCACCTCCCATCTGCTCCCTTCCCATCATGTTAGTCTTTGCTTCCTTTCCTTTCCTTTCAGGGGTGCCAAGACCAAGGAGATGGGACTCTCTGGCCCTGAGTATCTTCTGGTCTGGCCCCTTGGTCCCCTTAGCCCCTTAGTTAAGTAAAGGTATCTTCCTAACCTGTCTCTCTGGCTCTGTCAAGCATTTCCTCTTTAAGCTACATGGGGGCCAAGAGCTATGTTCTGAAGGCCGTTTCCT